ACTGGCTTCGCACGGACATTTTTACATATAGAGCCTTAAATGTTTATGATAATATTTTATCGCCTATGTTCGACAGGGATAATGTAGGATTATAATGGTTAAATAATTTTTAAACTGGTCTCAGGCCTATCTTTGGATTGAATCGAATTAGGAGAATATGCTAAAACTTACCACTCGTGTTCAGTGCCGATTAGGGGGCATTATCGACTGCAGACGAAACCAGACTAAGAGTTCAACGTGCCGTCCAAAGTACGGAGGAGCTCTTGATTATAAAATTTTGGACTAATGATCAATCCTTGCAAAAGTTGCTTAACTTCTGCATCGTAGAGCGATCTTTTTGTAAAGACGGAGAATTAATGATATTAAACCTATTTCAAAATATAATAAAAGTTTTATTTCATTGAAGCTCTATGCTATCATAGCGCTGTCCTCAACGACGAGTTGAAGCCTGTTTTTTGATTTTAATACAGCATTTCAGAGCTCATCGTTGCTTTTATCATTAATAGTAAATTTATATATATAATTCAATTAATATATTATAAGGCCTTCACACTTCACAAGAAAAGAACAATGTCGCATCATTTATTTGCATTTATTGGTTTAGTAACGAGTTTCGGCGTTAACTAATGACTATATCAATTAACCCTTTATTTCAACAATAATGTTGATTCACTATCCTTGTGAGTTAAAAAAAACGCTTTGAGCATGCCGTAAAATAAAACTCATCACAAACAGAGGAAATAACTTAAAGAGTAATGGAAAATACTGGCCAAGCATCAGTCGTGCATTGATGGTTCCGTATAAATATAATTTGAAAAATAAGAACCTTGTATAATTTTACATATGGGTACGATTTATTTCAACATTTTTTTTCTGTAATTGTTTAAAAATATTCAATAGGTAATTCAAGATTTAAAAATAATAAGGAAAATAAAAAAAATAAAAAGAATCCTAGGAAACTATAAAACTATGAGAGACACGAAAATTTGTTCTTGGGAACTATTTTGAATTTTCATCTTAATCGGAAGATCAGAAAATATTTCTTTCGGCTGTTTGGGTGGATTGCCTGAACATTGATGAAAATACGCTTACTACTAGCGAAAAGTAACAAGTGCTTGAAAAATTCGTCAGTCGCTGTTACGTCATGTGTAGCTCAGTGATTAGAGCAGTCGTCCGAATTCGATCGTGGGTTCGTGTCCCATATCAGAATAACTGGGGATGGTGGACTTTTTAAGTATTTTTAATTAAGAAATTTCATTAAGAATGTTATCAAAAATATTAAATCAATTAAACTTTATTCCTTACTATGAGAAACAGTATACTTTCTATTACCTACTTTCCTCGGATGGATATTGAATGAATATTTTTTGTGGTTAAATCACGTAAAACATATGTATTTTAAACTGAGAATATTGTTGACCAATTACCATTTGAGTTACAAAGTTTAGTTTATGCATTTAGTCGAAAGTAACTAAGTTTTTATATTTTTTGATCGTTCAAATCATCATTAATTCTGAATACTATTGCGAATTTAACTTAACATAATTCCATAAATCGCTATCACAATCACTTTGAAAGGAATTACAATAGATTTTGAATAAGACAATAAAGTCACTGATTTGTTTTTTTTATTTATTTATTTATGAACCACAAACAAGTTTACAATAAACTTAATGCTAAAAGTTACATAAATTAGGACTTATTGTACTTATTGTAAACTCAATATCGTTGGTTACATTTAAATACAAGTATTCTAGTGCAAACTGAAAATGCAGATTCTTTGCAAGACTCATACAACTTATGTTTAAATTACAATTAAAACTATTTATATAGAACCAAATCATATTGACAAATACCATTCTATTACATCCATGTACAGTGAAACAGAGATTTGTGCATATTTATATATGTAGTGTAAATTTTTATAAATTTTAAAATTATAATTAATATGTCTCTTTTTTAATTGAGTGCATGTTTGTGTGTGCATGTATGATCTCTAGTATAGGCATGTGTGTGAATGTGTGTATGTGTGTGTGAGTGTGTGTATGCGAGTGTGTGTATTCGAGACTGTCGGCAAATGCAAAAATAAAACTATCAATGAAATGTTTAAGATTTCAACAAAATATCAACTATTTGTTTTTTGTATGACCCTACACTAAAAGTTTTATAACTGAATTCAAAAGAGGTTTTTGCTGATTCCAAGGCTTAGCTCTATTATGAACCTGTCCTTTTTGACCAGATGTTAGATTTATATATAGTCTCATTTATGTTATAAAGAATATAATTTCTAGTTTTTCTGCTTCACAAAACTGGTTTCGAAATCGACCGTAGCTGATCCCAGCTAACAATTAAAATGCATCCGTTTTTTTCTATATATTCAAGTAAAAAATCAGATTTTTTTTCCTATATCATTAAGATGCAATATCCAATATTTTTTAGTTACAAGTATGAATAAACTAATTATATCCCAAACTTCCGCATGCATGATTTTAAAGTGCCTACGTATTAAAATAATAAATTATTTTTAGTACCCAAGGGTTCGACCTTAGAATTCATGGTCATTAGTCTGACTTGTTGCCCTATTAGCCAAAGCAATTAACTAACAAATTGTAATTACTATATGGTAAAATAAAAATACTTAAATTTTAAGAGAAAGTAAATAAATACGTTTGTAGATGGTTATTAAAAAAATATTATTTCAAGTACCTCCTTGCTTCGGAAAGCACGTTAAGGGAAAGTCCTGTAGGTTTTATTAATATTTCAATTCTATTACAGTTCTATTAATAAACAAGGTTTAGCTTGAGAGTAAATTAACGGTACAATTGCAATTTTAGTATTAGTCCAAATTATATTAAACAGAGAATACGGAAACCTACTACCTTCTAGCAATAAATATAACTCCCGTAGAACCTTGTGCTAGGTTAACCTTTGCTAAGTCTCTGTTTAATAATATGACTTTTGACTAATACTAAGTTCAGTCTCAGCGTAAATTTACTCCAACACTAATTTATTAATAAATAACACTGTTAATGTTTACGTTATAATCGCATTTCAATAGAATCTATCTCAACTTACTTTTATTTTGTCATTGCTATCTATTACTATCTACCTGAAGTCCAATATTATTATACATCTATCATTGACATAGCATTTATCAAAGTGGAATAAATGAAATATTGAGAGTACGAAGTACACTGGTTGGTCTTTGGACATTTGTTTAGCGATCCGATTGTTTTGTTCTATTATGTGCTATACAATTTTTAAAGTGTGCTATTTTGTGTTTTTGATTAAAATCAAGTGATTGACAGCCTTTCAGCTAGCTGAAAGATGAGACCTGCATTTTTTGAAGGATTTAGTAGTCGAATGGCAAGAAACGGAACCTTAATTCGTTATGTCTGTCTATTCGCCTGTTTGTCCCAACCACTTTATTTCGAAACTATTAATCTACATAATTGAAATTTAGGTATAGGATTAAACTGAAATATGTCTTGAGATAACTCTTTAATTGATAAAATATAGGTCTCAAAAACAATTTTCTAAAAGTCAATTACAAATTAAATAATATGAAGATCCCAAAAACTAATGCAGGTATTCTCAATGAACTACTTCACAGAAAATTACTTGCAAAACTAAATGAGACTATAATATTGAAAATTGCAACACATAGATAAATAATGCATTAAAAGTCTAAGTAGGATTTGTAATGTAATAAACGGAAATTTTGGTGCACGAGTTAGATTTGGTTAGTTTTTATAACGGTTTGTATTGTTTTTAATATGTTTCTCTCAAAACTTTTCTCTTACTTCCGACTTTAAAGAGTTAAATCCTTTTCATATCAAAACGCTTTATTAGAATATTCAGAGATTCACTATTCATCACTAGCTTTTTGACTGCAAAAACGTACACAGAGACGACTTTACTTACGCACATCAAATTAAAATATGTTCTTTTTTTAATTTTATATCAATAAGGTACCTATTAATTACAGTTCTAATGTTGAGACCGAGAAACTCATAATTTAGAAAAATAAAGCATTATTAAAAATTAAAATAAGAACATCAGCGACATCTCTTGGCAGTAAAAACAAATGAAAACGTAGCGTTATACATCACAATAATACATTGAGCGTGATTTTGTTATCAAATTACATTTAATGAACCTCTTTAAAATGAGTAGCCATTTTAAACCTTATATGCAGGCATTACGGCGATGACAACAACAATGTACCTAGCCTCTTTAGACAACTACTTATTTTTAGATTTATTTCAAAAACATTTTTAGAATTTCTAACCCTCTTGCCTATATCTTATGCAAAGCTTTTTGATATAAAAAAACCGACCAAGTGTGAATTAGATTCGCGCACAAAGGGTTCCGTACCGTAAAAGAGAAAAAATGATGTCTTTTGTATAGGAGCCCCCTTAATAATTATTATATTTTGTTTTTAGTATTTGTTGTTGTAGCGGTAACACAAATACATCATTTGTGGAAATTTCAACTGTTTAATTAAGACCATTCGTGAAATATAGCCTGGCCTGGACGGACAGATGGGTCTCGTTTTTAACCCTAATAATATATTTATATTAGCATTTGCTTCAAATTTAAATTTGAAATAATTCATCTATAATTATTATTCGTCCATGTTTTTCAGTCCAGTTGCAAAACAATCACTAAAATTGTCATTAGTTTAAATCGTCAAAAATTTTTCAAATTTCTGTCATTCATTAGAGTGAGTTATTAAATTTCAATGAACGTCACATTATTTTATTGATTTCATTTAAATAAAAACCCTTTTCCTTCAGTTTCTAAATAGCCAAAGTGGTATTATTCCCAAATAAATGCAAAACATGTACTATTAACAAAATGTATGTTACATTGTGTTCGTGCATTTAATTCATAGCTAAAAAAGATTAGGTTTACACTCCATGAGTTTTTTTAGCTAATGTGTTGGCAGGAAAATTATGTCTGCTTTGTATAAAAGGATGACTTCATAAGACTCCGGCATTACTTGTCAAGTCGACAGTGTCCTAATCAGACGTATAACCCTCCTCTATTTAACACAGGTGAGATTAGAAAACCTTTTGGTTTACATTATAATAACTTAAGTTCTACGATACAAATATCTCGTTACCGTACTGTTTACAAAATACGGAAAAAATTGCAAGTCGATAATACTCGTATATTTTATCACTTTTGCTTTCTCAAGATTACATTGTTATTTATCTTAAAGGCTTTAAAGCTTTTGATGCTTTAAAGCAATTTTCAACGAACCCATAACCTGTTGCAATTCGAGCTTTAGCTCAATTGGTTAGTGCTGTCGTAGCAAATCAGGGGGCCAATTCTACTAAATAATTTTGTTTAAATCGAATCGAAAACGGATCGAAACCGAACGAAACTACAGTTTTTAATGGTTTTCCTATTCTACAAAGTGACATACGATACAATTCCAGTTCTATTTTAGTTGGAATTTTATCGTATGTCACTTAGTAAAATAGAAAAAGCATTAAAAACTGTAGTTTCGTTCGGTTTCGATCCGTTTTCGATTCGATTTAAACAGAATTTATTTAGTAGAATTGGCCCCCAGGTTAATCATATTTGATACCTTTTAATTTTAAGTAGATTGCCAATGATGTAGTTTCCGTTAGATGAAAGAATTTTAAAATTCAAATCAGTACTTTCGAAGCCTATTCAATGTAAATAAACAAATTAATATTTCCTCTTCGTAATATTAGTGTAAACTACCAAATCTTTGTTCATTTATAATAAATTAACTTAATTAACATTTGTATTAACTTAACATTTGTTAATTACTTATTTATTTAATCTTAACTGCACAGTGAAATCGACAAATATGGCGACATAATGCCTAAGAGTCATTCACTAGCATTCAACCAGTAAGTTTGATGGAGCTTTAAATACGGCAATAATCATAAGTTAATACTAGTTAATAGTTGCATTACGCTGCTAATATTTCTAAATAAGATACATCTTATACCTAAATATAGAAATATAATAAAATACTTAATTTCTTTTTTCGTGTTATAATTGAAATTCGATCAAGGTTGATTTTGAGTTCGCGCTTATTCTAAATTATTTAGTAAGTAATAAAAACACCCTCAATACAGACAGAAGTATCCTCTGTGCTTACATTATATTGCAAAAAATTAATGACTACTACTAATAATTCATAATAGACATTTTTTGCTTGCAATAAGTACTTAATCAGTTTAATCGAATACCAACATTGTTTATTTAATCACCTTTATTGTTGTTACCTATTGTCATATTTATAGATAGTTAATAGTTTCCTGGTCTGTCTTGTTTTGTGTTCTAATTACGAATGTTAGTGTTTTTAAATTGATCAATTATACTGTCCTGGGAATTCCAATTACACTATCAGTATAAAAAGGCAAATAACTCCTTCCAGTTTTCCATTCAATTTTTATTACATTTATGTATGTTTCAAAATTTTATTATGCCTTAAAAAGGTTTGATATGGCTCTAAAATTTTATAAGTTTTATATATATATATTACTGTTTCTTTTTTACTAGGTCTCTTGAAAACAAATTGTTTTGCCGACCTCTTTTTCAAAATCCAGTGACAATACAGTTTAGAATATCTTAAAAAGCTATGGATGGTCTCCTAGGAATGTTTATAAAAATCCACCCTTTAATTGTACATAATATGTAACAATTTTAAAGGCAATATAATAAGATATTATAGCAATTTTTATAACATAATCATAAGAAGGATATTATGCTACAAAGTAACATGCGTTAATTGCACGCAGCGGTTAAATATTCGGCTAGACAATAATTTAAAAAAGTTTTTGTAAATATGATAGCGCCGTTCCCTCAGTACCTCTTCGATGTTTCCAAAAACGTGTCTTGAATACACAGAAATAATATGACAATAAAAAAAATGATTTATGTGTCAGATACCTTACCCATCTCTCTCATATTTGTCGTTTTCCAAGTATACCAGGGATATTATAATAACATTCGCACTCTTGCGCATATAACTCCAATGGATGCATAAAAAAATACAATTTGTTACTTTCTTCGATAAATAATATCTAAAAAATCCACGGGAACCCTAAGATGCGACTCGAATCCACAACCCCGGATTTTTCGGGGTATCTGGGATTGATGAATTTTATAACCATTTTTCATTAAAAACATTAATCGGTATAGCATTGTTAATGCAGAATTGATCAAATATAATGGTTAAAGTTTATTTTCAGACTTATACCAAAATGAGGTGCTTGATCGTCTTGTCCGTCGTGGTGGCCGTAGCCTTAGCTGACACGTACTCCACAACTCATGACCAATTAGATGTGGATGCTCTCGTCACCAATCAGGATTCCCTCCGTGCCATCACCAACTGCTTCTTAGATAAAGGCGATTGCGATGAAACCACAACAGCTTTCAAAAGTAAGTTGTGCCCCGATTACACTAAAAAAATGTTTAGCAAAATTCTGAGATGTGAGAGACTAGGGTGGTGTGAGCACTCTTTATTGCACTCAAAATTTTACATAAAAACGAGTAAATAAATTTGATACAAAGGTGGGCTTAACTCTAGAAGAGATCTCTTCCAGCCAACTTAGGATTCGTGGGAAAGTAAGATGTAGGCGAGGGGTGTGAAAATATAAACACTTTCAGGTATCTCCACAAAATTTTGTAATGCTCACAAAACAGGGTGCCGTCAAAGGTTGGGTCAATATTAAAAGCAAACATCAAGTAATAAAAGTAATAATAATAATAATAAGTAATGTTGGTTATTATAGTTTGTTTTAATTATTTCCATATAACTAACTGTTTTCCCGTTACTTCACTTTGTCAATTTTAACCTATGTCATCTACATATGATGTAGCTCCCTGAAGGAGAAAGATTATTCATGATAACATCAGTATTTCCGAAAATTAACCATCTACAAACAAAATCAGAAACATTATTACAATATAAGTATGGATAAGGAAGCTTCAAATTAAACTGATTGAATTTTGATTTCTAAAAAATTACAAAACATTTCGAATAACTCATAAAAGCCAAGCAAGTCATATCGAATAATGACGTAAGTCAATATAATCAATATTTAAACAGAGTTGTGGGACTCAACTAATTTAATCGGCCGATTAAGGATTCAATCAATCGATTAGTGTGTGATGAACACAAAAATATTTTTAATCAGCTGATTAACTAATCAGTTGATTAGAAAGACGGTGAATCTTAAATTTATTTATGTATTAATTATATTTGAATTAGTTCTAAAAACCTAGAATACCTTCGATAACATAAACCCTCGTCATCAATATATATCCCAGCTATAATGACATCGATATGAATAGGACTGTCATATTCAGAATCACACTGGAATTAGCAATTGACATTACTCATCACACGAGTGCTAGACGCGACTACTAACATTAACATGCCATCCGAAGTAAAAAGGAGATGTAGACATTAAATTTTGGTCACCCATACTATGACTGACATTTGAAAAAGTTGCTTAACATTCGTTGAGCCTTGTAACTTGTCTGTTGAAAGGAAGGTAGTTTGAGGCCACCTAGTGGTAAATGGTTATTAATCTTCATGAACTATAGTTGGGCAAAAAATAAATTGCTATTATTGATCTCTCCTAAATTTGTGAATTAATAATATGTGCTAAGTTAGTAATATTTATTAATTCGAAAGTATTGTTGTTAAACTTACTACTGTACTTTTTACAGTCTTTTGTTTAGAATATATCTTGTTAATATTATCTACTAAAATTTCTTTAGTTTTGCAATTGCCATTTCAAGAAAGTTCGATGTTTAGTTTACGAACGGACAAAGCAACGAACCGTAAATTCGATGCTTTGTCCGTAAATTTTGTAAACATTTTTTTTTTGTGTCATGAACTAAAGATCTTGTATAGACATCAATCAAAGAAGTCAAAACTCGATGAAATCGACTCGTTTCATTAAGATCCATAACCACCATCCCGCAAAATAATAATAACTTGAGCAGACTTTAGCTCAATTTAGCTTGCAAGATTTGACCCTCACTAACAATCATGATAAGATAAAAAATAAACTTGCAAAAATACGTAAATATCTATTACTAGTAAAATTTCCATGGCAAATTAATCGACCACAATGATTATGCTAGTTGACTTGACGCATAATCATTAGTATTTAACTAAATACGGCCATTGTAACGAATAATTACACACTGTAATAACAACATTAACCTTGAATTATTCCATAATGGATAAACAGGTACAGGTATATTATAAAACGCATTTTTTTTTTGTATTTATCTCGTAAAAATTTTGGTACTTTAAAAATCAAACATCCCCCCTAAGCGGGAATTTTTAAATAATTTCTATAAATTGAATAAATACCAACATATCAGAAAAGCATAATCGAACGTTTATAATAATAAAAAAAAAAGAAAGCGATAAACGATTCTAAGTCGTTCTCTATGCCTAACACGCAAAGGATCAGCAGATCTGCCGCATATTTAGCTTGAATTTATGTATCATTGGGTTCATTAATATTCAATACTCTATTAAACGTTGAGTTAGAATCATCTGGATGTATTAAAAATACACACTGTATATAACAATACAGTATTGAACGTTAAGTGCATTTTGATTGAATCCAATACCAAAGAAATCAAAGCTAATCTAGTTATAAAATGTTAACGTCCAGATAGGATGTAACAAAGTAATGAATTGGTTCAGTTTCTTATTCTCGCTCAGGAACAAACATAAGTTTTCATATTTATAGATGTATATTTTTTTTTCAGAGGTACTGCCTGAAGCCACAGAGCAGGCTTGTTCTAAATGCACCGGAGCACAGAAACACATGCTCAAGAGGTATCTGGAAGAAGTGAAGAAGAACTTCCCAGAAGATTTGGACGCTCTTAAGCAGAAATACGACCCTGAAGGCAAACATATTGAAGCTCTACGCGCTGCTATTGCTGATGCTTGAACATGAGGATACCAAATTTTTTTATAACAGCAAACAAAGTATTACATTATAATAATTGAGAATAATGATCAACAAATTCTTCACTAAAGATAAATTCGGCCATGCAAGATACTAACTATAATAATCTTATTGCAATTATTAAGATTTGTGATCTGGAATGTATTTTTAATAAAAATCTTTATTTTCGTTACTTTTTGTTATTTCATTTTTAAACATTATTACCTAAGAAGCATAGGTATTCCGTTTTACTAACCAAATCAGTGTAGATAATAGATACCAATTAGTTAGATTTGGTCGGTGAAGTTAGATATATATATATATATATATACTTGTTAAAATAGTATTAGTGTCTTTTTATAAATGTTCTTAAATTAATTTACTCGTAATATCTCAAAGATACGAGGGTGCTTACAGTGGTGGGATGATAAATAGCTAGCCCAACCCATATTTTGTATAATAACGATATAAAATCTCCTTAGTATTTTACTCATTGGTTCATTAGCTGCCAGTGTTTCAAATTTCAATTCGATTGTATAGTTTTTCTTTTGAATATTGACATTTCAAAAAGCATTCTTTTGTTTTTTTCTGCAAAATGGATAAAATTGAGCTACGAGCTGTGATAAAGTTTTTGCATTTAAAAGGATTAAAATGTGGAGGGATTTTTTCGGAGATGAAGGATGTTTTGGGAGAAAATGCTCCTTCATATGCGACCATAAAAAATTGGATGGCTGAATTTAAACGTGGCCGTACCAAGATGAACATCGTCCAGGACGTCCAAAAAGTGCCACTACTCCAGAAATTGTGATCAAAATTCATGATGCAGTTTTCGCTGACCGAAGATTGAAACTTTCCGAGATAGCTGATACTGTAGGCGTCTCTAAAGAACGGGCATATTACATTTTGACTCAAGAATTATGTATGAAAAAATTATCCGCAGGGTGGGTGCCGCGATTGCTTACAGTAGACCAAAAACGCGTTCGTATGCAAATTTCACAAGAATGTTTGGACCGCTTTAAGAGCAATACAACTGATTTTCTGCGACGGTTTGTTACTTGTTACAGACGAGACTTGGGTTCACCACTATATACCGGAATCAAAAATTCAGTCTAAACAATGGACGGAAAAAGGATCCCCGGCTTATCAGAAAGCAAAAGCCGTGAAATCAGCGGGGAAAGTCATGGCGTCAGTATTTTGGGTTTCGAAGGGTATATTGATGATTGATTACCTTCCAAAAGGACAAAACATAAATGGCAAATATTATGCTGATCTACTGGATAAATTACAAGTGTGTATTCGTGAAAAAAGACCCGGCCTTGTTAAAAAAAATATTATCTTTCATCAGGATAATGCGCGCGTTCACACGTGCATCACTGCGATGGCGAAATTCAAAGAATTAAATTATGGTTCGCTACCACACCCAGCTTATTCTCCTGATCTGGCATCATCTGACTTTCATCTATTCCCTAAGCTCAAAAATTTCATCATCCCGCCCTCGTAGTAAGATTAAGTTTTATTTTTCAAAACATTCGGGTCGATTTCCGGACTAAGAACTAGTTCTTTTTAATTATTTCTACTTAAATACCGATTGGGTAACAGTTAATGTTACTGTGGAACATAATATCTAAAATAAAATAAGCAAAGATAAAGTAAATTTTATGCACATAAACGTGTTAAATGCTGTATTGAACAAAATAAATTAAGGGTTATGAAAAACTGTGAATTTTATCCATTTTATATATCATGTTTTATACTAATTATAACTGCTTAAAACCTACACAATTGGCGACCAAGTGCAAATAATGTTAGTTTTATTTTTCAAAACGTCCGCATTAAATTCTAGAACTTGGAACTAATTTTTTTAATGTACGAATACAGTTTTTCTTATCACTAAAATCGATGACATGGTTCTTTAGAACAAATCTTCGTATGTGTTTAGATTCAAACTTTCCCATAGTGACCATTCTTAATCTTACGCCTTCTGTCCTGTATTTAAATTGAGCTTATGCATGTTAACAATTGTGGCTTAAAAAATTTGCTGCTTGGCTTAAAGCTTACTTGGCTTAAGTATCAAGAGTACATGTAAAACATTGTTGTGTGTATTTAAACCGTAATTTATAATTTTTGCGGTATACTCATACAATACTTGTGACAAACAATAAAACTACAATATCAATTGGCTCCAAATACAGCTCATAAAAATACGATTGTCAAAACTTACTTTTGTCCTAATCGCATAATACGTCTATAAAATGATGTTTTTTCCAACTAATCATTATAATATTATATAGGCCCAGATCGTTTTATATTAATCGTGAATTTCCGTCCAAATATCCTATATAAACGTTTCAAAATTAATATAAAATTTAGATGTCGATTCTTCCTGCGGATTAAACACCAGATTTATTTATGTAAGAATTTTGACAATATTTTTCGTTCCCAAATACTTCCATTTCAATAATGAATATAATACTGATATTACATATTGGCACTGAATAATTATATCCTCACTCTAATTGATTTTGATATGACGTGATTCTGCAGAAACCTATGTGTGCGTATGTGACAGAAGATACGTCGCGTTTACACTGCGAATTAAACAATAACAGACCAATGAATGTGAGCAACAGAAATTGCCTGCACGCTGGACGCAGATGTCATCGACCAGTGCAAAGTGCAATTACGGCTTTTATAGTTCGTTTCACGAAATAAGTGCCTTGGATCTAGGGTTGCCAGATAGCCGGGATTTTCGGGATTGTCCCGGAATTTGCGTATTGCTCGTGTCCATTATGTTTACTGCGCTGTCCCGGAATGGAAAAATACTAGTATTTTTTTCACAAAGTATTCATGTCAATATTAAAGCCTTAAAAAGTTACTTACAAAAGTTGAATTACATTTTTTTGCATTTAACAGTTTAAGAAAGTAATGAAAAGATTTTTCCAAAAAAGTATTTTCTTTTTTCATCAACCAAATGTTCTAGATAATTCCTACTTAGTTTAGCCTCGGACCGGAAGCCAAACCTCTAATTCCGTTCGTGGCACCAGAATTGTCCAGGAAATGATCAGCCTGGATCTAGCAGCCCTACTTGGATCAGAATGTTTTCGCTTTTATAACAAAGAAATAAGAGTAATGCCAAGAAAACTCTTTCGTGAAACGGTTATATAACATCAACCTTCCAATAGCACGCGATCAATTTGACTGTGATAAGTGTCTTGCTCAGTTTCTACATCCTTCCACTTTCACGATCCTAAACTATGCAAAATGTGTTCTAATTAATACCAATACTAAATTAATAAACTTATACGACTATTTTTTATTTTATAGAAAATGCTTGCTATCTTCTATCTATTCATAGTTGGTATTACCGTAGAAGTACTGTGTTATGAAGAGAAATTCGACAAATTTGATGTTGACAAAATAATCGCTGATGATAAAGTTTTCGATGACTATTTGAACTGCTTGATAGACAAAGGACCATGTGAACACCAGTACTCTGCAGAATTTAAGCGTAAGATAAAAATTTATTATGTATTAAACTAATTATGAATTTTTAAGTATTATTTAGTTGAGCTTGTTTGGTTTAGCGCTGGAGTAAATTTACGATGAGACCGAACTTAGTATTAGTAAAAATTCATATTATTAAACAGAGACTTAGCAAAGGTTAATGTAGTACGAGGTTCTACGGTATTAATATTTACTCCTAGCAGGTAGTAAGTTATCTTATTATCTGACACTAAAATTGCAATTTTAGAGTAAATTGACTGACACTAAACCTTGTTTATTAATAGTACTGAATGTATGTGAATCGTTATGATACCATAACAACCCTTTTGCTTTACAACCATATCTCAAACCGAGCACGCTAACCACTGCGCCATCGAGTGCCCCGATTTTTAATAATAATCTATATTTACGTTTTTTTTTATAAACAGAAATATTCCCGGAAGTTATTGCTACGGGCTGCAGTAAGTGCACACCCATACAGAAGAAAAACATAAAGAAGATTTCAAAAGCCATGGCACTAAAACATAAGGTTGCACAAATGAAGGAGCTTATTATGAAATATGATCCAAAACGTGAATACGTGGCGTCTTTCTCAGCATTTTTGCTGAGTCCCGATTGATAAATTTTAGAGGAACATCTTCTTATGACTTCCTATTATATTATATATATTTTGAATGCATGAAATTGGATAACCTATTAAACTTTACCTTACAATGTATCTACTAATAATTATTTATTATGTGTTTAAATAAAGATTGGATTTAAAACAATGTTATTCCTGTAAAAAAGTTATATAAAACCTAACACAAAAAAAGTTGAAAATATCGTCTCAACGGCTCTACAGAGTAACTGAACCACCGATTGCTATAACTGCCTATAGCTATATAACTATGATATCTAGCAATTCCAACACCATGTGTTATTCAGTTATAAAAGCAGTCTCAAACTCAACGTCGAACACGAGTCAATAACGAGTCACGTATTAGTGATTCAATGAAATAGAATCTACTTAAAAAGTAATAAAGGTATTATTTCATTGAAGTTCAACGAAAAGTTCGAGTCTGTTTGTAACTGAATGCTATGAATACTGTGCGCTGTCCATACACAAATTCACATTTAAAAATAACAAAAAATCTCGCAACAATTACCACTCTATACTTGTGTCACCCTCTCACTCAGTTAGACCAAGCAGTGTCTACGGTGATGGTTTATGAGCGGATGGTACACAGCAGGTCTTGCAGAAACTGACGAATAGTACACAGCAGGTCTTGCAGAAACTGTGTGTGGAAGTCCAGAATGGTATCTGGATCATATATAGCAACTTCCGCAAAAATAACGCCTAGTTCTATTAAATAGCAATTATTGAATTATCAAAATTAAGCCCTGTATGATCTGGGTTGATCTGGCCAATACCACACTAATCCTGATAGGTTTTCTAATAATAACCATATTCTTAAAAGCCGAAGGCATAGATTTCGACATTCACAAGTGATTGTAACAGCCTAGACTGAATTAAATTTGAATTTGGAGCATTTTTGAATTCTTCTCGTAAATTTACCAGTTTTATAGAAAAAATACAAATATTAAATTCACTTTATAGACGGAGACTTCATGCAGCACTTTTCCTATTGTTTTATATTATTGTTATTCGCTATCATCTGTTCCTGTATATCATATCGCTCGTCGCA